CCCCCTTAGTTTAGAGAAGATATCTTATTTTACCACTATTTACGGCACCCTAAGATCACCCCTTAGAAATCCTGGCTCCTAGGTCCTATAGTACTAGCTGGCCAGATATATGCCTGGTTAGGGCATATTACCCATAGTAAAATACCGGATAGGATCTAAATAGAGTAGTACTTCCGGAGGAGTACTACCCCTTATATAAATAGGGTAAACGGTCTCGCACACGTTATAACTTACTATAACACACACACGCGAAGATTTCCCCTAAGTTAGAAGAGTTAGACGAGTGAATTTAACGTGCGATAACTCCGATCTAGTAGCTTTACAAGGTAAATATACTCTCCTCTCCTCCGTATTTAATTACCTACTAATTACTACTATTTTAATAGTAATTAGATAATAAGATACAGTACTTCTACCGGGATCTAAAAGACTACCTAGGCCGTGTTAAGTGCCTATTTATCGCGCCCTAGTCTACCTAAGAACTCTTATATTATTCTCCTAATATACTACTATTCGATTATACCTATAAGGCTAACCGGTTTAACCTACCTAATATGCCGGAATAGCGCAGGACTATACACACGGATAGTCCTCGCGCGCTAGGCATTATACGTACGTATAGTGCCCGCCGGCCAAAACCTAAATATACGTTTAGGGCCCGGGCCGGGTTCCCTAAACGCATATATAGGACTAAGAGGTCAAGAATAAACCGGGCGTTTAGAGAAATAGATAGTCTAGGCCTGGCCGAGAATATATTCCCGGCGAGCCCGCCTTTAGATTAGTAGAAGGTATCTTTTATTATACCCTATTTTCTATACCTAAAGGTCGCTATTCCGAACCCTAGAAGCCCTAGGTCCGATAGTACTGGCTAGCTAGAGATATACCTAGATAGGGTATATTAAATAGTAGTAACTAAGCTTTTAAGCGAGGTTCGTATACTGCTACTTAATATAAAGTAACGTATCCTATAACTATATAAACACGTAGTAAACCGATAGAACTATACGACTACTAATACGCCGGGCAAAAACGCCTCTCCTTCGCCAGACTAAGGCGTGGAGTGTATAAGAACTATAGCCTACTATTCGTATATAGGTTCGGCGATTATACTAACTCTACTAAACGAAAAGTCCGCCGGGGAATCTAAAGCTCCGCTATTATAACCGATATAAACCTCCTTAACGACTATCCTTATCCGCGAAGCGCTAAAAGTGCGAAAAGTCTTATTAAGTTCTTAGATAATTTCCCGGACCCTATCGCTAATCTCCTTACGCCCGAAGATATAGCTTTATTTAATATAGCTAGGCGGGCCGTATACGCCCTAGGGATAGCCGGCACGACCGGCCTAACCTTAAGAGGAAGAATCTCGCGATCGGAGTCTGTGTCCGATATATCCTACCTAAAGAAATAGATCCGAAGACCGGATAACTTTATAGACGCCTTCGAAAAATAGCTTAATAGAGAACCTGCTTATAAGGAAATTCTAGCGGGTATAGGAGAACCCCGCGATATTAAGGGGAAATAACCTATATAATTATTTACCGTTAGTCTTACTCCTTATATGGGCGGGCTAGATTATGAGGCTAACCTAATTAACTATATCGGAGGGAGCCTTACTAGTACTAGTCTTATTAATACTAGCTCCGCTAGTATTAGCTTTACTCTATCTAACTCCACTTAGCTTATTATAATAGGGCTTAGGATATAAGAGCTAGATAGTCGGTATTACCTTAAGATTACGGGAGAGCTAGGAGAACTATTATTTACTATAATGAAACCTATTATACTCCTAATCCGTCCTACTATAAAGATAGCAGATAAAGAACCTATAATTAAGGAGGAGGAACTAATATACTCCTTAAATAAATCCTCCTTATACTAATCGCCCGTCTCCGACGTATCTCTTACTAAGACTATTATCTATTATTCGATCGCTATAAAACGCTAAACGTCTAACGCCTTTAGCCGCGCCTTTTCGGCTAACTACCCGGTTAACACTAAGGGTATAGTATTTAGCGCGGGCGCGCCTAGATCTAGTTATAAGAATATCTATTAAAGTACCGGACCGCCGGATAAGATACCTCCCCCTCTTTTAGCGTTTATTTAGCCGCCCCCTATAGGTAAAGACTAGATATATATACGCTAGTTAGACCTACTAGCTATTATCGGCGAACTCTAGCGCGGATCATAGTTATAGTAATCCTAGGTTCGCTTTAAGGCGGATACCCTCGGATACTTTAACCCGCCGGAATACTTTACTATTATCTAGGACGTCCGCACGGAAGGAATTAAACTAGTCTTCCTTAACGTATTCTGCTTTACGGATATTATAGAGTAGTACGCCGGGATAAGCCCCGGGTATAGCGAAGCCCTTATCTATAGTATCTCCCGCTACTTACTAAGTAAAGCCTCTAAATAACTAATAATTATAGACCCTAAACTTTATAAATAGTATAATAAGAACGCTACTCTAAAAAATAAAAAGGATAGTTTAAAGAGCCGATTCCGGCTCCCGCGCGAAGAAGCTAAGTACCGATTATATAGGGAATTATATACCCTAGAAGATATTATAAACCGCCGTAATATCCGTGTATTCGCTAATAGTGTCGCCCGACTCGTAAAGGCTATTAATAAACCCTAGGGAAAGCTCCTATCTATTATTTAGGATAAGCTTAACGCTAATCTAACCACGACTATAGTCTAACCAGGACCCGAGGTAAAGTTAGCCGACTTCCTAAATTCCCTAGTAAATTTAATACTAGGATAATACCAGAATTATACCCAAGGAGTTTAGAAGTATTATATTAGCCGATATAGTCTCCCTAAACCGGACCGCGGAATATATAGCGCTCCGCCCCCTATTATAGTAGTTTAGTAATCTGCGCCGCGGTATTACGACTAACACTTTAATCTAATACCTAAATACCACTATATACTATAGCCTAACCGCTATTCTCTTAGTCCTAGCTAGCTCCGTCGCTAAAATAAGAATCACGCGCTGCTTACGCCGAATACTAACCGTTATACTAATAATAAGGGTTAGCGACTCCTAACTAATAACGCTAATAAATAGTCTAATCGCCGATACGGAGACTATCGCTATAACCGTTCTTAAGACTAAGTCTACGCCTCCGCCGAAAAAGCTGCTAAGCCTATATCCGGAGATAAAGCCGATATAGAACCCGAGTATTACTATACCGAGGGGAACTCCGAGGGTTTTATAGACTCTGAGAATAACGATAACACGGGTAGTAAATAAAATAACTAACTATACTTGGTCGCCGATAGACCCGGATTCGTGTCTAAGTACGCCGATCTTTACTAGGTACGCTGGAAGTATAGTAAATACTACTAAGCTATAAGATTAAATCCAGAGACTATCTAATATAGAAGACTTACTCTTAGCCGTACTAATTAATAGAATAGAGTGGATAGGACTCGCCGCTAATTAATAGTGCTATTTAGGAAGTCGGGGATCCTTCTAATAATCCTTACGGGTATATATATACCCGGATCTAAGCCCGTGGTTCCCCTATAGGTATACCGTTTAATATTTATATTAACTTAGGAGCCTCCTACTATATAGGAAGCTAGTAGCTCCTTAGTCGATTTCCTAATAAGTATATCGATTCTACTAAGCGCGCCGTATTATAAGGTATAGTAAGGGTAGTAAGATAGTTAGTGCGAAGACGGAGCGGGGTGGCTAGGATAAGCGGCAGGCCACCCTAATGGTCTTTATCTTTATAGATTATTATTATTATTATTATTTATTACGCTGCTCTCGCTTAGCTAAGCTAGGCTAGCTACCTAGGTAATAGTCCTTCTCTAATTTTCGAGGGGAAACCGTTAATAGATCAAAACCCCTGCGCTTTTATTATATAAGTAGGGAGGTTAATTAATCTCTTAATTACTCTAATTAGGTTAATCGTAGTTATTTAAGAGTGCTTATATAAACGTAATTACTTCTTTATAATAGAATTGGGGTAGCCTTATTAATATATATCGTTTAGGCGTTATAAACCGGGCTTATAACTATTACACGTTAAATAGCACTTAGATAATTAACTTAGTAGAGTAGAAATCTCGCGTATATGTATTATATTAAGTTATATCTATATAAGTCTTTTATACCCTTAATTTAGGTGGTAAAGACTCTATTATAGATACTATATTATTTAGATCCTATCCGGTCTTTTCCGGTATCCGCCCCTGTTATATCCTGATACTCGAGGTCTAAAGCCCTTAGTCAGAGAGTGGATTCCCCCTGGATCCCCTATAGACTATATTGTGGTCCTGCCTATACGATATTTATTAGTTAGGATAACGAAGGGGAAGATTAATATACTCATAGGAATATATAGTAGACTTATTAGCTGATAGACCCTTTAGCGACCTAAAAGAATACTATTCCCTCCCTCCACTATCTTAATATATTAAGGTAGTGATCTATCTTTTCCTAACGCTTCCCGTATATCTATAGGCAGTATAAAACCACCTTTCTAGCTAGTAGGAAGCCTTTAATTAAGGGCTTACTACGCTCTCGAATATATCTATAGTGTATATCGCCGTTTTTAATATCTATAAGTGATATCCCGGGGGTGATACTAGGCGTGGAGGACTTTTTGTATCGTAGCTTATAATCGACGTTAAGGTCGAAAAGCTCCTCTTATATATAGAAGTCGTCGGTTATAACTAGTATTAGTATATTAGCCAGGTGTTAAATAGCGGTATATAAGGTGTAAAAAGAGGGTCGTTAATATACAGATAATGTTAAGGAACCCGTTAGTATTGAAATCGGCTATCTTAAGAGCGTTATTTCGAGGCTGTTATTATAGTGGTTATAGGTGGGCGTTTACGTCTTATTTTGATTTAAGGGTTGACGTCTAGGTTAGGATTTTGTGGGGCTACGGGGACCTTCCTTATACGGTTTAGCCCCTTCGTCGAGTGTTATGAGTCTTTACGGTAGTCCGTAATTGTTACTTCGAAAACCATAGACGCCACGATTGTACAAATCAACATCCAAATTGAACATTTCAACATCAACATTTTCTCTACTTAATTGCCTTGGAGGGAACGAACGTCCCTGCCGACCAATTTCGACGCCTCCGATTGTACTGCTTGTCGATTGTGGCGAGACCACTAGCAATCATATTTCGGAGCACCCGTGCCATTGTGCCATGTCGCATCCTGGAGTTGGATGGCACCTTTTTCATCACCAACCGAAGAACAATCCCCTCTGAACACCTATCAATACCATACTTCCGCCCTCACCGGTGAAATGGGTACGTTGCGCAAACGAACGCATCTCGAGGCAAGCACCGATGTCCCAGCGGACGGGCCAGCTACGGAGCCGTCGCTGCGCCAACGTATCCGCAACATGTGGCAGTTTGCCAACCTCGGCCAGTGGATATACCTGTTCGGCAAGGCTGTCAAGATTGACGACCGCCTAGACACGGACGTGAGTTTTTAGATTTAAGGATATGAAAAAACGACGTCTTGATCTGACTAGATCGGCATGCTCAGGAACTCGAGGCTGAATGCTTGAAACCCACTTCACCTGTTCTTCAAGACATCGGTCTCGCCCTGCTGAAGTTCGTGTCATCGCACCGTGGCCTCACGTAAGTTCAAACACAGCAAACCATAATGCCCAATGCATGCTAAACCATGAGGTGGTTAGACTCGAGAATTTCGATGAATACACCCGAAGACAGTATGTCGACAAGAATCCCGACAGGAATCCCTTTGGGACTGAAGAAGTTCCAGCCAAGTTTACAGACTTCGACGTATTTACTAAGGTATCTCCGAAATTCAATGCCAGACGTCAGATACTATCAACCTCCTAACATCGTGCCTACTAGATCCGTGTCTTGCATCAACTGACTCAATGGGCCATGCTTCACCCCGAACGACTGAGGGACAGGATGGACGAAACAAGAGATATAGATCAAACTAGCTGGGTAAGTTTAAAGATTCTTAAGTACCAACGAGCATATGCTTAGTATCTGACTCGCCTGGGGTCCTAGCGAATTGAACCCATGGGTTGGGATCGCCAAGATCGTACCTATTTCGTCCTCGATGATAATCGAGTGTATCGATTAAGCGAGCCTCTTGCTCAGCCACCTCTATCGCGAAAGAAGACGAAAACTAGCCGACGCGCGCTTCGAGCCAGTAAACGGCGGCATTCATCGAACACGAACAATACGGCGGACCCAGGTGGTGCTAATTCGAACCCATCGGAATCAGTATTGAGCGATGGGATAGAAATTGACAATGGCTTGGGTGGCATGAAGTGGGAATGCTTAGCTGTGACACTGGAAGAGGTCCACCGCGTCGTTGCATCATTCCAGAACACACGTGACGAGAACGAGAAGGTGCTGCGGGATCAGCTGCAAGAACACTTGGTGCCGATTCTTGAAAAACAAGAGGAGTCGAGGAAACGCCGGGCTTTACAACAGCAGCGGGAACTTGAGAATCTCGCCAAAATGGCCAACGCGAAGCGCTCAAGTCGATTAGCTAATAAGCAAGAGCGACAAAAACTTGAAGAACAAGCTCGAGAAGAGGAACAACGGCAATTGGCAGAAAAAGAAGCCGCCAGGAAGGTTGAAGAAACTCGCCTCAAGCTAGAGAGAGACCGAGAAGTAAGACTGATGTCACGAGAGAAACGAATCAAAGAACGGGAAGCACGCCGCCGACAGTACGAAGAAGAGCTCTCCAACTTATCAGAAGACAGTCGACGCACCGGTCATGGCGAAGGCCGCCTATCACAGCGTCAACTGCATACCGAGATAGAGAAGAACAAGCAGGCCCTCAAGCAGCTCCAGGATGACGACGCAGAAGACGATTGGTTATTCGACTGCGAATGTGGTGTGTATGGTAGGGTCGACGATGGGACGCACAGCATTTCTTGCGAAAGGTGCAATGTTTGGCAACACAGCAAGTGCGTCGGTGTCCTGGAAGCCCAGGCCGAACAGCCCCGGTTCCATTTCGTTTGCAGTGCTTGTCTTCGGCGTGAAGATGCTGCCAACGGGAAGCCACGACCAACCATCAAATTAAAAGTTAATCGCTCAGAAGGCGCGGCCTCAGACCCTGGCCACTCCTCTCAGTCTCGGACGCTCGTTGTGGAGATTCCGTCTTCCAACGGCGAAAATAGGGCGGCTGTCAGGCCGGAACTGGCCCAGGAAAAATCAGCCGCACTCTGCAGTGACGCTCCTCACGCCAATACCGGCGTTGATGGCCATGGACGAGGAGGCTCGCACGATGGCGATAAGCCTGTCGCGATTCATGACACAGCAACCGACGCGCAACACGAGTCCTTTGCATCCTCAGCCTCGTCAGGTCACAATTCCGCCAGTATAGCAAGACACAGCCTCAATCCCAGAGGAAATCATCCTCAGGATACCAAACCCCGCTTACTCCTAGCATCTTCCACAGGCGAGATAGCCCGCCCTCCCTTCACGCCTCTAGGTTCTAGTTCAGTCCAGGAACAATCTCCGGCGGACATGTTCGTCGATGCCGAGTCTCCCATAATCAAACCTCCCCAGTATCCTACGTATGGTACCAGTGGTACCAGCCCAAGGAGGGATTCCGCCATTACTTCCTCACCCGGTGCGTGGAGTAATAAAAGTCTCATAGCAGCTCCCGTCCTCGGTCGGCAAGTGAGGGGAGACGCAGGGTCCACAGAGCCAGGCGTCTTGCCCCCGTCTTCCACGGGACATTCGCCGGCGAAGCAGCCTTCTGCGCGGGATTCTCCAACCGCAGCATCATTCAAGACCAGAAACATATCCCCGGTCTACCCTCCGACGACAACACTTGCCCCGCTTGATCAACACCCCATACTGACCCCTCCCACAAAGCAAGCAAGTGGTCCGCGTCAATCTCAGGTGCCGGGCAAGTTGCACTTCTCCTAGACTGAGTCTACGTGCCTTGTCCGACGACAAAATCACACTCGCGATTTCCGGCATGTGGAGAAGGGGTCCATCCGCGAAGTGATCTTGCTGCTGCTTAGCTTCAGACCTCCTTACAGCAGGGGCTACGAAAAGTTGTGCTTGGTCTTGATGGAAGTGGGAGGGGAGGGAATAGTGCAATATTGCTAGCTATCCCCGTGAAGGCTAGCAGCAGACTTTACGCCGGACGGTGTGCAGACAGACGGCCATATCCCTCTTCGTTGGAGACCTCCAATTAATCTGAAAGACGAATGCCAAGACAAATGGCATTGTGGCATAATGAGGACATGGGTCCTGCCTATGTAGGCTCCGACAGGCAAGGGTTCAGCAAGGAGCCTTTACGCCGCCTGTCATTGCCGCTGCCCCCGACCCCAGTAATGCAGCTACGATCTGGGGGTCGCAACTTGTACCCTACTCTGCTTAACTACCATGCGTACTAGGCGCAGGGATTGCCTCTCTGAGAGTTTCTCGAGCCCGACGGAAAAGATCTAGACTCGTCCGACGTTGTAGTTCCGACCGGTGTTATATCACGGGCTCGGAAAGCGCCAAGCAGCATCGAATCTGGCCGAGTTTGGGACTTACATATAGCATATCCTGTATGTCGATTCGCTATCAGCCTCCGGGTCCAGTTCTGGTTCTACTGGAGATACATGCATGGTATTCTGCCCTAGGAGTTGGAGGACAATGAGACGGCACTTGCTAGGATCCGCAGAAAAATTGCCGAGCAGCCATGATAACAGCCCAATAAAAGAGCCCTTTCTGCCGTGATGTCTTCAGCAATACTGGACAGTTCGGCGCCGCAATGGGATAACTCATCTGTTTAAGGGACACGACTCGATGTGGCGGGTGTCAAGGACTTCTCAAGGACTTCACCATGACGGCACAGGCCCGTTCCAACTTGGCATAGTCCAGACAATGCAATACAATATCTATTCAACGCCTAGAGATGCTGTATATATTTCTAGCTGACTTCATCTCACGCATTCCTTGACCCTGAATCATACTACCCCGACGGCTGAGGATGTTGCCCGGTCATACCTTCTCTGATGAAGGACGTTTCCTCTATAGCTCGCTTGATTGAATGCGTTGGACCGGTACTAGGAACCTACCCGAATTCTGTTCGTCGAGCATCAGGAGCCGACGGTACATTGGGCATCGATGCCATGCGATGGCCATAGGCCAACGACTGCGCGAAATTCGATGTTGATAGATGACGATGGTTGGAAAGTCGGTAAGCGTAAGTAGGAGGCGTGCTAATGTCGACAGACATGACGCGATTAAGAGAGTCGACAGATGTCTTCGTCTACCTGCCTTGCGGTAAAAATACGGCCAAGCAGAGCGTTAACTGGGTATTTCTTCTTTTTTACGCCATTTCTTGTGATGGCTTGCAACTTCAAATACCGAATGTCAGCACGTATCAAACACTGTAGGCACCCCTGAGCGATAGTTCATGGGTTTGTTTTCGGCACGGTTTCTCGAGAGAACAGATATGAATCGAATCTAACGTGGCAGATGAACGAGGCGTGGCTTAAGACAACCTAATAACAACAACGCCGTTGATAAGTTAGGATATATACGTTCCAAGGATTGGGATACTCCGGCTTCCCTCGCTGCCACCAGCAGCATGCACATCTTAAGTTTTCTTGGGCGTAACAGGGGTTGCGCGCAATAGGGCCAAGAACGGTCGACTGCATGCGTGCTCCAAATTTGTCAACTCGGTCTCCACGATGACTACCGCGTAGAGACCATTTTGCTTTGCTTTTATTCGAACTAAGAATAAAGTATGCAATCCCCCCTTCGCGACTCACCTCGCGATCTTTTTTTTTTAATTAGACTATCTACAAGGTAATTACGGATATGTGATGGTGTGTATGCTGGGAAATGGCGAAGGGAGAAGGAAAGAATAGGAGATGGGCAGCAGCATGGGGGATCAACCATGAATAGACAACTTCCTGCCAAGACTTCTATTCAGGTGGTCATGAATGGGATGAAAGGGAGAGGCTCTACGCGGGCAAAGAAAAGATGACCATTCAGCGTGAAGGCCTACGAACTAAGTGGACCGCCTACTAATATGGGGCAAGCAGGGAGACTGGTGGGCACTAGGTACCTTATCCGTTTATATGGCCGTTGGGTAACACGGATTTCCGCACCACTACCTACCTTAGGTACCTTAGGTACCTACAAGAGGCATAAATACCCACATAAACTGTACTCCGTACTCGTCAAGCCAGCTGCATCTCGGATAAGTGCCCACCCCACCTTCTGGGACACCCCCTATTTCGGACACTACCTTACACTAAAACACTGCTTCTTAGACCCCTGCTATTTTATAGACTAAAAGAATAAATCTTATAAAACTAAAACTCTATATAGATTAAAAATAAAGTACGAATATTTTGTTTGTAGGTTTTATATAGGTTTATTAGAAGAGCTATAATATAGCTTAGAAGTTAGAGATTGAATTTTGTTAGTGTTACTATATACTATATAAGGAATCCTAAACAAATAGAAATATATTGATTTTAAATTAATAGATATAGGTAAAGCTATACAATAAGTACTATAAATAACTTCTCGAATACTAAATGCTTTTATATAAGGGTTATATAATAGTATCTATGAATTTTAGGCTAGTTTCTAATGTATAAGTTATATTTTTATCAAGGAATAGCCTATAATACCAGGGAAAAGATACACCGTAACGGATAATACTATTATAACTTAATAGTTGTATATTATAAAGACTTTAACTTAAGGAGGAAAAAGGAGAACTCTTCCCCCTCTACACTAATAAAGTAATTTAGTCTCGCCGAGTACTTAGCGGTCTAAGCGTATCTCCGATTCTATATAGTGCTAATCCATAGTACTACTTAGTTCCTTACAATTCTTTACCAGTAATACTAATCTATTATAAATACTCTTAGTTATTTCTAAGTTTACTAAGAAAATATGTACTAAAATATCCTAACTTCTAATCTATATTATAGATCTTCTACTAAACCTATATAAAAACTATAAACAGAATATTAGTACTCTATTTTTAATCTATATAGGGTTTTACTTTTCTAATATTTACTCTTTTAGTCTATAAAATAGCAGGGGTCTAAGAAGCAGTGTTTTAGTGTAAAGTAGTATCCGAAATAGGGGTGTCCTAGAAGGTAGGGTAGGTACTTACACCCTAAGGAACTCTAATAAATCGTACGCTATACTCTGTATATAGTAAGCTATAGGCCGATTGCTATTTATTATTGAACCTGTGTATCGGCCAGGAAACCTAACCAATTGCCTAGGCTGTATTAAGAATAAAGCAGTACCTAGGGTACCTAGTTCAAGGGTTATCTTAACCTGCCTTACCGGGAGTCACTAGGCGTTAGTTGTCCTTGGACTATAGCCTATTATTGCTCCGTTTATACTGATAAAATATATAGCTGTCCTTAGATATCAGACTAGCCTAACTTTTGGCCCGGAGGTAGCATAGCTAATAAGACATAAGTATGGATAAGATATATTACTAGTTCAAAATTTATATAAGTATATATAAATACGATTTAATTATACTTTATATCTAAGCCTACTTAAGGTACAGTACCTTATCCTAGGAAACTAAGAAGTCCTTGTCCTAAAATACGCTTACAAATACTGCTATTATAGAAGACGTCCTGCTATAGAAGCGGCACTGCTATATAGAAGAGGCACTGTTATTATAGAAGAAGTCCTACTACTATAGAAAAGTATTAGATAGGTAGTTATAAGGAGTGAGAAGGTAGTAGCAAGAGGGTCTAAGGCAGGGAATAGGCGTGGATTAAGTAGTGGTCACGGCTAGTGTAAATATAGGTAGTCCTAAAAAATCAGAATAATCGCTGCCCTCTCTATACTAAGGAGGGGGCACTATATAAGTACTATATACTCCTAGGCTAACGCTAGTATAGTTAAACGGATATCGTAAACGGATATCTACGCCTAAGCCTAGGCTATAGCTCTATATAATAGTATCGGCCTAGGGTAGCTATAGCTATATTAAGACGGGAGCCCGGTCTTATCTATACGAGAACCCGTTATAGTCCCGCCGTGTACCCGGCCTCTATCTCCTAAGCAGGGGCACCTAATAGGACGACCTCCCCCGGAGTACTCCTATCCTTAGGAGCGGCTAATACCGGATAGGGCCACTTTTCCCGACTATACCCGGTATTAGCCTATATTCCGCCCCGTCCTTCTATTACTAATCCCGTATATAACCCTGTTATAGTCCTGTTATAGTCTTACCCTTAGTCCGGTACTCTATTCCTACCGTCCTTCTATCGCTAATCTCGTATATAATCCCGTTATAGTCCCGTTATAGTCCTATGCTTAATCTATTACTCCTATACTATAGCTAACGCCGGCCTCCCTTTAATCTATATAAAAAACTAGCGCCGATATCCCTTTAATCTATATAAAGAACCGGCGCCGATATCTCTCTAATCGATATAAAGAACCGGTGCTATTATATACTATATCTAAAAATAGAAATTTATCTCTTTCCCTTTTATACCCCTTTTACTCTTATACCTTCCTTCTTTGTAGGAAGAAACGGTGCCTATATGCCCGTCTAGGGGATATCTTCCTTAACGTCCCCCCACTATTTCTTCTTCTCTTTTCTCTTCTTTTTCTTTACGCCTCCGATTTCGAGATTTTTTATCGTATCCGTAGCATGCCATAAGTTAACCCATATATATTTTACTTATAGGAGCAGGGCTTAATAGTTATTAATATTATTATAGCTCCTTAATTTTCCTAAAGTTTCCCTATTATCTTGTAAGTATCCTTCTAACATCTCTCCGTCCTAGGGAAAATAACTTATATAGCTTCGCTAACTATCTCGTGCAGCTCCGTTAACCACCGCTGCTATACCTCTTAAGGAGACTAATAATAATAGTAATAATAATAATAATAATAATAATAATAATAATAATAATAATAATAATAATAATAATAATAATAATAAGCGGCCGGTACCTAAGCTAATAGCTAGTAGCGCTTCTAAAAAGCATAAGACAGTGATAGCTATAGTATCGTTATCGTTAATTACCCTTATTAAGAGGTAGCAGATATTAAGAAAAGGGCCTCCGGGGGCTTAACCCTTAAGGACCCTTACTCCCGCTATGCCGGCTAGCTAGCTAAGATTAATTTTAATAATAAGACGTCGCGCTTACGGTTCGAGTTATACCGGGACTCCGGGACCGTATCCGCTAAGTACGCCTTTTACTTTAGGTATAATAATCGCCGTTATAATAAGCTTCCCACTACGGGCCGCAACGTGGCTATTTAGTTATAGAAGGTCCTTATTATCGCCGCTATTAAGGATAGAATAAATATTAGCCGTCGCGTAAGTTTTTTTTCGGGAGTAACCCTAATAT